AAAAGATCTAAATGATTTTTGGAACCTAAGTACCCAACCACTAGCATTACATTTTTTTCGGTGTGACATTTTCACTAAACCTTTGTGATGTCACTTTCAACCAACATACGCCATTGCATTTAAACAATTACAATTGACATTTGGTGTACAAAAAAGTTAACATCGGAGGACTTTATATATGAGAGCTATACACAATTCAGGACCGAAAATCGACAAGAATTTGTTTTTATATTTAAAAGATATACTATACAAAATTTCATCTCAAATGGACAATATTGCAAATCATTTTGTCGGAATATAAAATATGTGGTTTTCACATTGTCTTTAACTACAATTTAAAAGACAGAAAAAAATTATTTCCTCAGATTCTGAACATTTTGTTCACTTCACTATTTTGCAACTAAAAATATAGTAACGTAAAAAGTTACAATTAATTATAACGTAATTACGTTACAATTAAAAACCAAAAACAAATATATTTTTGGAAGTGTGTGTTAGCTTTTAAGCGATTAGTTCAATTCTTGAAGAAAAGATCGATAAGGACGCAAGGAAATACCCACATGTAAATTTTACAGGGTTTTCGTATCTGTAAGTGTCGTTTTTTTATTTTTCCTTGCCTGTCCCATTTTGAAAGGTATTCTCATTTCCAAATGCCCGGATAAGAGATTTTGATCGGTATTCCCACTTTTTGTAGTTTTGCCTATTGACCTGTTAAATATTCTTTATGTTCTCTATAGAATACATTCATAACTTTTTTAAAAATAATTCTCCTTTTATCATCAATTTGAATCCCAATTAATGAAATTAACGGCAAACACAAACAAACGTTTAGGATATACATAATTAGTTATTCTCACCCGCTGCTAATATTATTAATAATTTAGGCAAATGCTGCAAAGAATACAAAAAACGAAAATGATTTATTGATAAGATTAAGGTGTTGGAATGGTAATAACAATATTAATGATAAAATGTCATGAATAATTCACATGCCACACAAAGAAATGTCCGTAGCTATGTTGGTTTTTTGTCGGTGGGCAAGCGTCGCGACCACCATACGCGTAATTTACTGTGAGAAAAAAATATAATATTCAATTATGTCCATCATCATAATACACCTTTGTGTGGTATAATTTAAATGTTTTATTTAATAAAAATACTTAATAGCATGCAGAATATATATTCGTGAATATATTCCTTGTGTGAACAGAAAAAAAGATTTATGCTTAATAGCACAATTTATGATTTTCTTTTTCCTCTAAACGTATTATATCTTAATAGCACATTGCTGAAATTTGGTCATTTTTTACGTTGAAATTGAAAAATGGTTTAGTTGGCCGTATAATGAAATGTGATAAATTGTGAAAGTTGTTAACTAAGCCCCACTCAGCAATGAGGCAATTCCGGTATTAATATTTGTAGAGTAATGCTATGTACATATACTCAGGAGGAAATATAAATGATGTCAAGGAACATGGCATTGTTTTTATATAAATGTTATCGATTTCTAAGATGGTTACAATGATGTCACCTTCCAAATAACTATTACTTGCCATTGTCATAAAATTTGTGTAACGTTTGTAAAACTACTCATTAACTTTTCTTTATTCACACAAATGTAATATAACTATTGTTCTTAATCAAACTAAATGGCACAGTGAATGAGGTGGACTTAAATAAAATAATATATATATTTTTTTTAAATTTCTACCTTTTTGTGGGAGAGGTACCAGAAAGAGTGGACCCGTCTTCGAACTCGATCTAAGTTTTGTCAAACGCCATAATATTACTTTTTTTAAATTTTATCGAATGAAAGCAAACAATGTCGGAAATAGCATCAAATTTTAGAATTGGTTTAGATTTGTTCGAATTGGTCACCTTTGGCACGAATTAATGCCTTCTAACGGCCAATGAAACCGTCACACGCTGCCTGAATGTTGCTCTGCGGTATTTTGGCCCATTCCCGGCGAAGCGCTTGCTTGAGGTGATCGACACTTTGTTTTTTTTTAGTGCCAACCTTGCTTTCCAAAATACTCCAGACACAATAGTCCAACGGATTGGTATCCGGAGATTTTGGTGGCCATTATGCGTTGGAAATGAAGCGAGAAACCTTATTTTGTAACAATTCTTGAGTGGTACGTGCTGAGTCCTGTTGGAATGTCCACGGTCTGCGGCCAAAATGTTTGCGTGATCAAGGCTTTAATACACCCTCCAGAATATTTTCGCGATAATATTCGGCATTTATTCTGATGCCACTGTCGATTAATACGAGCGTAGAACGACCATCGGCTGTTATGGCGGCCCACACCTCCTTTTCAGCTCTTTTGAGTCTATTTTTTTTTTCTGTTGCGGTGTAAGTTCTTGTACGTGGAATTTCAGTGGTTTTACCGCGAGCTCATTTTTCAATATTTGCCGAATGGAATATTGCGATATGTTCAGCATACGAGCCATTTTTCGGCCACTGCGCTTCTTTACTTTTCGAACCATTTCTGCTGATTTTGCTGTTTTCATCCGTCGACGTCGGGTTACGCTACCAGTATCACGGTAACGAGCGATGGTACGAGACACAAAAGATTTATTCACATTTGAATGCTGGAGTGCTCTAACGATAGTCACTAGCCAAATAAAAAGAAATCACACAATCACGTTTGAATTCCATCACGGATAACTTTTTTCCTGAAAATTCTCAACAAAATGGTTTTGTACGCTTTAACAATATAATGAGCTATCATTGGAATAATTTTAACAGCTGTCGGACGAGTGGCTTGACAACTATCTGAAGTTGGTTGCGGTTTTTTAATTTCACCCTGTAATTCCCATTAATAATCGTTAGCCTATATACCATGGCAAGGCGTTGTGGGTCAATATTTCTTAATAAAATCATATCCCAATCTGAACCAATTTCAATATAATTTGACAAAATTTATTTTTGGAGCAAACTCCGTCACTCCTTCCACATTTCATTGAAATAGGAGATAAATAACGTATTTGGTGCATTAAATATAGGAAATCGGCCAAAAATATATATAGGAAGTGTATCCAACCCTCAACCGACTTCAATATAATTTAGGAAATGTATTTTTGTACAAAATTCCAAAACACATTCGGAATTTCATAAGAGTCGGACATACATATCGTGTTTGTTGCCTAAAATACGTGAAATCAGTCGAAATATATGTGGGAGCTATGTCTAAGGATCAACGGATTTTAATATTATTTGACACATTTATTATTGTACCAAATTCCGTCACTCATTCCGAATTTCATTGGAATCGGACAGAAATATCGTGTTTGGTGCATCAAATATGTGAAATCGGCCGAAAATATACATGGGAGCTACACTGGTGGCCAAAACTAAAGCAACTAAAATCGCAAAAAACAATAAATGTCCTGTAACTTTTACAAAAATAAACAAAACGTAATTATTTTTCCAGTTTTAAATGAGGTCTTTAATTCACTTTTAAGAAACTAAAAATAAAAATACAAAAATAATTTCGAACGAAAAATAATATATGGAAAACTAAAATGACCTAATGTATTTGCTCTTAGCCATTTTTAAACTTTTTTGGGCAGTACTTAGAAAACGAAAAGAAAAACACATGCTGTTGTAAAAAACTTCTCAAAAAGGATTTATGACAAGCGAAATTGTCGAAGGAAGCAAAAAGCGATAACTATAACAGTAAAAACAACTGAAATTGCAGCGGTCATATGAATGTACAACAGAGTTGCTTTTGTTTTGTCCAAGCCAAAATCGGGTTATTTGACTTTACCATACATTAATTTTTATATAAAAATGAATTTTGGTTTTTTGTTTTAGGTTTTTAAAAAGTGAATAAAATACCTAATTTAAAACAAGAAAAACTTTATCATTTTCTTAATTTTTAAAAAGTTACAGGGCATTCATTCTCCTTGTAATTTCAGTTGCTTTAGTTTTGGCCACCAGTGTATATCCAAATCTGAACCGATTTCAATATAATTTGACCTAATTATTATTATTTTAAATTCCGTTACGCACTCCAAATTTGAAGAATATATCTGTAATCGATCAATACAAAAACTAAATTTTCTGGAGGTACTTCCTATTCTGATGCTAGAACTCCCGTTGCAAGTGGAATTTCAAAAATTTACATAGCCTATGTTACTTTCACACTATGCTTTAGTATATTTGGAAATTTTGAGAAAAAATCTGTTCAGCAGTTTCTGAGTCTATAAATTACAAACAAACACACGTACACACATTTTCCTCTTTTATAGATATATATAATTATTTAACATATCCCATCTTCACACTAAATATGTCTTGGCAGAAATATCGGGAAATGTAAAATTTAAAATGAAACCGTTGTGTGGGAGGTACTATTTTTATACCACATTTAGGGTTGGTAAAAATTTGAGACGCACAATAACTAAAGATTTCACTTTTTATAAGAGTTATGATTATTCAAAATTTTTAGCCCTTTTTTGTGGGGTAGTCTTTAAAAAGAGTGCGCCGATAGTATCCATTTTTTTTACCTTGTGTGGGGGAGGTATCAGAAGTAGTGCATCGATATTGCACATCTCTGAGCTCGATTTCAGTTTGAGAACAATATTACGATATACCAAGTTTGAACGGAAGCGAATACTCATCGATAGCTATTGTGCGCACCAGCAGTCCAGACAGACGGACACTGCTAGATCAAGAACCCTGTTAATCCAATTATGTTCATCGAGATAAATCTTCCATATATGCACTCTTCTCCATAGCACACTCCTCAAATTCAGTTAGACATGGCATACATATGTTAGTTTCATACGCTTCGTATTATTTACTTCAAGCAAATTTCCAACATAAACCTATATTTGTCACAGGTTTTCTTTTCATGAATATATTTGGATTTTAGAAAATGCTTGGTTATTATGAGAATATACTGCCCCTCTAGTTTTTTGAAAGCAATAACAACATTTTGCAAACCTACTATTCTTCTAAAAATTAATATTCTCATAAATTGAAACCACCACACTTTAAAATTAAAAATTAACAAGACTTTTTATTATTTGTTTTAAATAATTAGTCAAACATATAACACAATAAAAATGCATTATAATTTTATTTCGTTTTCCGTTTTGTTTTTTGGTTTCGTTTATCGTCCTCTGCTTATAAACACTTTATTTTCCAATACCAAATTCATGTTCAATTTTATCGGCAACCATTTTGGCAATTGCCAAACTGCTAGTAGCACCCGGTGAGGGTGCATTGCGACAATGAAGTACCCTTGTCGCAAGAGAACCAGCTCCGACGCCACGATCAAATACAAAATCATCTACCAAATTACCATCCATATCCAATGCTTGAGCCCGGACACCGGCTGGGCCACGTCTGACATCGTATTCTGTGATATCAGGAATGAATTTTTGTAAATCTTTAACCTGTAGTGGTATAAATGCAGATTTGCTCATCTCTTTGAGGCCAAAGCCAATGTATTTGGAGGCCATTTTAAGGAAACCTGGATAACGCAGGGCATCAAACAATTCCAAGAGGTTTAAGTCACCCCATTTGTAGCCTTCTCTCTTGAAGGCCAGCACGGCATTGGGTCCCAACCAAACGCTGCCATCCATGCGTGGTGTAAAATGTACACCCAGGAAGGGGAAACGGGGATCAGGTACTGGATAAATGTTGCCTCTTACCATGTGGCATTTTTCTTTGGCTAAAAGCAAATATTCACCACGGAAGGGGATGATGCGTGGGGAACGGGGACAGCCAGTCTTTTCGGCAATCAAATCAGACTGGAGGCCACCACAGGTTAGGACATTGCGGGATCTTATTACTTGGTGGGGACGATCGCCACGAATTGTGACAGGGTATTCGGAGGAACCTTCGTTTTTGGACTCTTCAAATTTGGTTACTTTGAAGTCCAAGTAAATATCACCGCCAGCTTGCTTGAAATCTTGTCCAAAATACTCTGTCACCAAACCCCAGTCAACAATACCAGTTTGAGGACTCCACAAGGCCTTCAGACCCTTACAATAGGGCTCAACTTCTTGGATCTTTGAACCTTCTATCAGCTGCAAATCGGGCACATTGTTTTTAATACCACGTTCATGTAAGTCCTTTAGTCGTGACACCTCTAACTCGTCGGTGGCCACAATCAATTTACCACATTTCTTGTAGGGAATGCCTTTGGCATCCAAATACTTGTAAGCCAAGTGTAAACCTTCAACACATAGCTTTGCTTTGAGTGTACCGGGCTTGTAGTAAATGCCGGCGTGGATTACACCCGAATTGTGACCACTTTGATGGAATGCCAGTTTGGGTTCTTTTTCAAGTATGGCAATTTTCATGGACGGATGACGCATTAAAATTTCACGCGCTGATGCCGTGCCGACAATGCCTCCTCCTACCACCACCAGATCATAATCTCTGCAACAAAAAAGTTATTTTTGTTAATTTTTTATTGCTTTTATTATTAATTTTTATTGTTGTTTTTTCTTTGTCTATCTCGTGTACTTACTTTGTTTTTCCTTGTGTATGCTGCCATCTCTGACCCCCTACTGCAGTTGTTGTTGCTGCTGCTGCTCCATTTATTAACGAACGTAAATTATTTAACGAACGTAGACTTTGAATTTGTGTCCTCAACATATTTTTATTTTAAATTTTATTATTAAATAACTACCAGACAGCACACCAAACACCCAACGAAGACCTTGTTTAACCTTGACGTTCACGTCGTTGTCTCCGTTGAATTTTCCTCTGGAATAGTATCAGCTGTTAAACAACAACGACGAAATGTGACTGAAAAGCCAGCCAGAAAATGCAAAATACACGCACTTTCACTACTACGACGGCTAGGGTTGCCGTTTAGTACGAAATTTATTACCACATTTTTACGTTGTGGGGTAAATGTCTTTAAAGAAAACACATTAAGAGTTTCTCCATTACAGGGTGCTGTCATTTCTAAGCCACTTGGCCGACAGCTGTTAAAATTATTTACTTGTCAAAGAGGTCAGATGAAAATGTGCACCTTCGGTTGGCCACTAGAACTCAAGCGTCGCCCATAGTGATGGTGTGGGCCGCCATAACAGCCGATGGTCGCTCTCCGCTTAATTAATCGACTGTGGCATCAGAATAAATGCCGAATATATCGCAAAAATATTCTGGAGGGTATATTAAGCCTTGGGCAAGCAACATTCGTTTAGCGTGTGACGGTTTCATTGGCCGTTTGAAGGCCATAATTCGTGCCAAAAGTGACCATTTCGAACAATTTGATATAATTTCCGAAATTTTTTGCTTTCATTCCACAAAATTTAAAAAAAAATGTAAAAATTATGGCGTTTGACTTTGTTACAGTTTTTTTATCTCACCCTGCATGGTTTTGTTTGATATGGCCAAAATGTTCCTCATTGCATTAACCGTTCTACAACCAGGATTGGGAGGTGCGCGCGATAATACCTCGATATTTTCCGATTTTATTAAAACTTTGCAATATATTTTGTTTTATCAAACTTAGACCAATTTTGAAGCATGTCGGGCAATACGAAACCACCTTTTTTTTGGTACTTCCCACACAGTCGGCCAAAAATGTTTTAAAATAATTATTTATCTAAAAAAGTCGAAGGGAGATTAAGTTGAAACTTGTTTAAAATGTTGCTTAGTGTTAAATTTCTGCATTTTCCCCAGTTTCCAGTTACCCTTAAAATGAACCTTGGCAACTCTATCCCAGGCAACTTATCATTCATCAGCTGGTCATCCAGTAAAATTATTTACTTTTTGGTATACCACCTATATTGACGCATGGCAACTGTCCTAGAAATTTAAAAAAATGTTAGTTTGAAAAAGTTAATGTTTTCACCATTGCAATAAGAAACCATATTTTGTTTTTACTTTGTTGAAAATATCTCAATTTCGTAATTGAATTTCTACGGCTGTGTATGGAAAAGTGTGACTCATTCATGTTATACATGCTGGAAAAGAAACTTGTTCACCATTGCAAAGAAAATATTTCACCATGGTGATTTACCTTCAAGTTAACTCACAGATATGCAGTTGAGTGTTCCATGTGTTTGTAAGCTTTGTAACATTGCAAAACGTAAAATGAAATATAAAAAAAACTGAAAGTGTACAATTTGTTGTTGGTATGAGCTACTATTTTTTCTTCCATTCTTTGAGGGTTGGCAACGCTATTCTTAGAATGAGAGTAAAAAAGTATTGTTATATGTTGTATGATTATCACCAATATGAATGGTGATAATAAATACGAATAGTTGTCTACATTTGTATTTTTAATAAAACATAGGTATTTATAAACATAACATTCTACTTGATGCCTTCAGTCAGTTTTACTGATAACACTTAGTCAAAGATAAAAGCTATACTCTAATCTAACGAAGGCACACTTTGTGCCTCCGTTGCCTTATCGGCATATCAATACAAATTTCAACGTATCTTAAGTAGAAGAATCGTGAATATTTGTGAACATATGTAACGGTAAAAGATTCTAAAGCTAGTTTAAAATTGAAGATGTTTATTACGTGTTACAAAGAAAGCACATTTCTAAAATATCGTTAACGCAATGTAAAGTACAATGACTTAGCAGGCAGGCGTTCTAGTCCACATCCTGTTTTTGAATCGCATTTAGCTTTTTTCCATTTCGAAAACAAATTAAACGATAATGTTCACTTTTTATTTAGCATTACAAGAATTTATCGATTAGGTTAAAATTTTCGTGTAGTTCCCATAAAAATCAAATGTGACACTTTCATAATGTATCCTATATTGGGAAATATGCAATGTTTCATGACCAATTCACATTTTTTAAACAATAGGCCGTTTTTTGAAACCGGAGGAACTTGTATTATATATTCCATATTAAATCTAGACATGGTGTTGAGGCCAGTGTTAACATAATGTACAGGGTGAAATAAAAAACTGCAACAAAGTCAAACGCCATAATTTTTGTTGTTTTTGTTTATCACCTCTTACTTGAGGTGATCGACCCTTTGTTATTTTTTAGTGCCAACCTTGCTTTCCAAAATACTCCAGACACAATAGTCCAACGAATTGGTATCTGTAGATTTTGGTGGTCATTGTGCGCTGGAAATGAAGCGAGAAATCTCATTTTTTAACCATTCTTGGGTTCAAGGTCTGCGGCCAAAATGTTTGCGTGCCCAAGGCTTTAATATACCCTCCAGAATATTTTCGCGATAATATTCGGCATTCATTCTGATGCCACGGTCGAAAGTGCACATTTTCAGCTGACCTCTTTGGCAAGTAAACACGATCATTTTGTTTGTTTACAAACTGCTGGATAACGAGTGTTTTCTCATCGGAGAAAACCAAATTCGGTAGTTCACCACTTTCGGCCAAGCGAAGCAACTCTTTAGTTCTTTTGAGTCTATTTCTTTCAGTTACTGTGTAAGTTCTTGCACTTTTTGGAATTTCCATGCCTTTACCCCGAGCTGATTTTTCAATATTTGCCGAATGGAATATTGCGATTCAGATCACGAGCCATTTTTCGGCCACTGCGACACGGGATGATAAGGCACTTCTTTACTTTCGAACCATTTCTGCTGATGTTGCTGTTTTCTTCCGTCCGTTTCCTTGACGTCGGGCTACACTGCCAGTATCACGGTAATGAGCGATGGTACGAAGCACAAAAGATTTATTCATATTTAAATGCTGGAGTGCTCTAACGATAGCCACTTGTGGTTTTTCAGCCAAATATAAAGAAATCACATTATCACGCTTGAATTCCATCACGAATAATTTTTTTCTGGAAAATTCTCATGTCTTTGTTCGCTTGTAAACAATAAAATGTGCTGTCATTGGAATAATTTTAACAGCTGTCGGACAAGTGGCTTAGAAATGACAGCAGTCTGAAGTTGGTTGCAGTTTTTTCATCTCAACCTGTAATTAAGATTTTAAATTCAAAGAAAGTAATAATTTTAGCAATATATTTTTTTAATTATTGATGATTTTGATTGCATACTTTTTGGCGTCTACCAAAAAATTAGTATGATAACTGTACAAATTGACCAAAAATGTCTTTTAGATGAAAGGCCAAATTTGATTTTGAGAAATGTTAAAAAGAATATTAAGATACTATAAACATATAATACTATATATAGTGATGTATACTTTAACGACTGGAAACTGTATGAATCAGAAGACATACATACACAAAATTTACCTCATCATCAATTTTGTGGACCTCTTTTTTGTTGGCATTTCTTTTTTCAAAGAATACAATTTATTAGCAATTCCGATTGGATGGCTACATCTGATCTATTTCTTTACCTATCGACAAAATTTGTTATTCTAATTTAGGCGTTGAATTTGTCTCTTTAATGATATTCAGACAAATGTTGTGTTCTACGGACGACATTGCCCACCAAGTGATTTAAAATTCTAATTAATGAATGAAAATTACATATAATGTTATCTCTTCTTGGCATCTGGTCATTTGTCAGGTAACAGTTTATCAATACTCTTTTGGCTTCTACATCAGTAAACATTTTGTGACAAATTTATTTGTCGGTGAATTTAAATTTACCTTTCCAATAACATCTCCAAAGTCAAGCGATGAGTGCGTTCATGAGTGAAATAAACCTCTTATGCCACAACTACTGCTTCACCAGAAATGCACTCGGTTGTTGTTGTTGTTATTCGAGACTCTTATTAAAATAATTAATGGCATAATTTCATTGCCATCTCAACTATCGCAAGACCACATCATCAACACCGCTGAGAGTGAAAAACCACCCAAAACCTCCATCGAAAGAAAAATGAAAAACGACCGCAGTACCACTTTCATCCATTTTCCACCACAGAGTACACTGGGGATCAATTTGGCTGTGACAACGATATAATGCGGTTAACGTACATTTATCCATTATCCTTTGGTGTAATCTTTCATAGCTGTTGGTATTCAGGGCATAAAAAGGGAGTAAGAAGTGTTGATATAATTCCCAAACGTTTAATTCGGTGGTTTAGGCCAGAGGATATTTTTGGGATGACATTCAATTTTTCGGAAGGACAGGAAGCCTGCATTTGAAGTTTGAAGGGAAAATGTCCGAAATAAATTTGAAAATGAAGGCAACATAAATGAATAAGTTAATTTAAGAGTCAAATTTGAGATTTTTAATACTTCTTTAAATTTTCATTGTTAAAGAGACCAACATTTTCGGACTCTTAACTCAATATTTTTATAAGTTATAATCCTGGATTCTTTAATAAAGCTATGTAGACTAGAATTGATTGATTTCAAGAAATAATGTTAAAAGGACAGCAGACGTTTATTTTCTAAGAATATTATTTTATACGAATATGCGTTTGCAGTCTGGAATTTTCCAACAGCATTGTTTTCAATGACTGCCGGAATATTTTGTAAGAAAACTTTGCCAAAGACTGTCAGAGGATTAAGTTTCAAGGACTATCCGAATGAGAAGCGAATTTTTTAAACGTCCAATTGTGGAATTAAACAAATTGAAGTTGATCCGAGCTATATAGGGTGAGATAAAGAAACTGCAACAAAGTCAATTTTTACATTTTTAGCACGATTTATGGCCTTCAAACGGCCAATGAAACCGTCACACACTGCCGAATGTTGCTCTGTGATATTTTGGTCCATTCCCGGCGAAGCACTTGCTTGAGGTGATCGACACTTTGGTATTTTTTAGTGCCAACTTTGCTTTCCAAAATACTCCAGACACAATAGTCCAACGGATTGGTATCCGGAGGTTTTGGTGGCCACTGTGCGCTGGAAATGAAACGAGGAACCTCATTTTGTAACCATTCTTGGGTGG